ATCTGTTCTTTTCAAGTTTTCTAAATATCTGTCCTTTCCAAGTTTTTTTTCTAAAGATTGTTTTTTTTTTAAAGTTTTTCTAAGATCTATTCTTTTGGAACCGATTTTCCTCCGTTGATTAAATTGTTTGTTTTTAGATTTGATATTAGATTCCAAACTTTTGTTGACTGGTAGCCTTAGATTTAACGTTTTACAATTTATATTTACTTTTCCCAAAAATTTTTGTAAAGGTTTCGATTTACATCTGTTTAGCCGTTTTCAATTTTGTTGTGTACTAATTTTTAACTCAAGATTCAACTTTTGTTTGTGAAACTACACTAAGATTCAAAATTTCTAATTAGTTGAGTTTTATTAAACTACGCTAAGATTCAACTTTTATTTGTTCATTTTGTTGTACCACGGTAGAATTTGGAGAATTTTGTGTAGCTCTTTGTTTTTTCCCTACATTTCCCCTACTACTGTCAGGGCTACACCAGTGGTAGCGGTGACAACCCTTTTTGGTTTTTGGGTAGAGGTATTTTCTGTGTTTTCAAGGAAATTCTCGAAATTGTTGGAGACAAGTTGGGCGCACGAGCACTAGCAAAGGAGAGCAACCTGGACGAGCGTCCGCAATGGGCGGTGGGAAGCGACGCGTGAGTGTACAACTACATCGAGTACAACAAATCAACACAGGTTTGGTTCTCAGGAGTTGGTATCTCCCGTTCTACTGTTTCCCTTGTGGTATTAGCTAAATTGATGTTACTTTAGTTCACAATAGCTCAATCATTCAACTAGTGTACTTGTAGTCATTTGTTTCCTTCTAGTTTGATTCGTTGTCCGTTGTGCACTAGTGAGTCTTCTTTAGATTTGCCGTAGATGTAGTGGCTGCAGTCTGGGATGATAGATTAAGGGCATGTCCTCGGGTGGGGCAGAGTGTAGGGCAGAGTGTGGGGCCGGGGTCAGGGTATGGGACGGGAGGCAGGGGAGGTAGAGGGGGCAAGTGAGCCTATAGGTTGAGAATCGGGTCATGGAACATAGGTTCGCTAATGAGTAAGTCTATAGAATTAGAGAAGATACTTCAGAAGAGGAAGATTAATATAACGTGTGTCCAGGAGACTAGGTGGGTTTGATCTAGGGTGAAAAACGCGGATGAGTATAAGTTATGGTACTCTGGAGTCCTGAGGGGTAAGAATGGAGTGGGTATCCTGATAGATAGCCATCTTAAAGAGTCGGTGGTAGAGGTCAGGCGGGTGAATGATAGACTAATGACTATTAAAATGGTGGTGGGTGAGTGTACTTTAAATGTCATTAGCGCGTATGCACCGCAAGTAGGCTTGGATGAGGAGATTAAAAGGCACTTTTGGGAGGGGTTGGATGACTTCGTTCATAGTATTCCGCCTTCCGAAAGGTTATTCATAGGAAGAGATTTCAATGGTCATCTTGGGTCGTCTGTAGGTGGTTATACTGAGGTGCATGGCGGATTTGGTTTCGGGGAGCGGAACGGAGGGGCACTTCGCTGTTGGACTTTGCCAAAGCATTCGATCAAGTTTTCCGAAGCGGGAAGAGCATTTGGTTACTTACAAAAGTTCGGTGGCGAAGACTCAGATTGACTATCTCCTCCTCAGGAGATGCGACAGAAGGTTGTGCGAGGATTGCAAAGTTATCCCAGGTGAGACCCTTGCAACGCAACATAGGCTTTTGGTGATGGACATTGGTATTATGATAAGGAGGAAGAAGAGGTCAGTACGAGGCCGTCCGAGGATTAGGTGAGACGCCTTGACTAAGGATAAAGCACAGGAGTTAGAAGGAAGGTTATCGGCAATGGGAGCTTGGAGAAGTAGTGGGGACGCAAATACTATGTGGTCGATGATGGCTGACTGTATAAGTAAGGTGGCGAGAGAGGTGTTAGATATATCTTCGAGCCGCACCAGTGGCCACAAAGGAGACTGGTGGTGGAATGCAGTTGTCCAAGGTAAAGTGGAAACGAAGAAGGTGGCGTACCTGCGGTTTGTGGGGAGCACTGGAGAGGAGGAGAAGAGAGCAAATGGTAAGAGGTATAAGGTAGCTAGGAAAGAGGCGAAGATGGCAATAACAGAGGCTAAGACGATAGCTTTTTCTCGTCTGTATGAGGAACTGGGGAACAAAGGAGGGGAGAAGAAGTTATTCCGACTCGCTAAGGTGAGAGAGAGGACGGCTCGGGATCTGGACCAAGTGAGGTGCATAAAAGATGATGACGGCAAAGTTTTGATGGAGGATGACCAGATTAAGAGGAGATGGCAGACCTACTTTCATAAACTTCTAAATGAAGAAGGGGATCAGGATATTGTACTAGGTGAATTGAGGAATGCCGACAGTCCCCATGAATTGAGTTATTGTAGGGCCATTAAGGTCGATGAGGTCATGGAGGCAATGCGTAAGATAAGGAGGGGCATAGCTACCGGGCCAGACAAAATTTCGGTTGAACTTTGGAGGTGTGTTGGTAGAGCAGGCTTGGAATGGCTTACCGGGTTGTTTAATGTTATATTCAAGACTAATAGGATGCCTGAAGAGTGGGGGTGGAGTACAATGGTTCCGCTATATAAGAACAAAGGCGATATCCAGAGCTGTAACAACTATAAGGGTATCAAATTACTGAGTCATACCATAAAAGTCTGGGAGAGAGTGGTAGAAATAAGAGTGTGAAGGACGGTGTCTATTTCAGATAACCAGTTCGGGTTCATACCGGGGCGATCTACCACAGAAGCTATCCACCTTATTAGGAGGAGGGTGGAACAATACATGGATAAGAAGAAGGATCTCCACATGGTGCTTATCGATCTAGAGAAATCGTACGACAGGGTTCCGATGGAGGTCTTATGGAGATGCTTAGAGGTTAAAGGGGTCCTGGTTGCCTACATTAGGGTGATTAGAGACATATATGATGGAGCTAAGACTCGAGTTAGGACGGTAGAAGGTTACTCTGAGAATTTTTCGGTTGTTACGGGGTTGCATCAAGGGTCTGCGTTCAGCCCTTTCCTATTTGCTCTGGTGATGGATGCCATAACACATCATATTCAAGGGGAGGTGCCATGGTGCATGCTATTTGCTGATGACATAGTCCTAATTGACGAGACACAACGCGACGTCAATGAGAGGCTAGAGGTTTGGAGACATGCCCTTGAGTCTAAAGGTTTCAGGTTGAAAAGGACGGAAACGGAATACCTTGACTGCAAATTTGGGGCCGAGCCGACAGAAGTAGGAGTGGAAGTGAGGCTTGACTCTCAAGTCATCCCTAAGAGGGGTAGTTTCAAGTACCTTGGGTCAGTTATTCAGGGGATCGGGGAGATCGACGAGGATGTCACACACCGTATAGGGGTGGGGTGGATGAAGTGGAGGTTAGCGACGGAAGTCTTGTGTGACAAGAAAGTGCCACTGTTACTAAAAGGTAAGTTTTATAGAGCAATGGTTAGGCCTGCTATGTTGTATGGGACCGAGTGTTGGCCGGTTAAGAATGCACACATGCAGAAGATGAAAGTAGCAGAGATGAGGATGTTGAGGTGGATGTGCGGGCATACAAGGATGGATAAGATTAGGAATGAAGATATTCGAGAGAAGGTAGGCGTGGCCCCCATGGAGGACAAGATACGGGAAGCAATACTCAGATGGTTCGGGCACATTCTGAGGAGAAGCACTGATGCGCCAGTGAGGAGGTGTGAGTGACGGGTTGTGGTGGACACGAGGAGAGGTAGAGGGAGACCTAAGAAGTATTGGGGAGAGGTGATCAGGCAGGACACGGCACGACTTAGGATTACTGAGGACATGACCCTTGACAGAGAATTGTGGAGGTCGAGCATTAAGGTTGTAGATTAGGGGGAAGTTGTGAATATTTCTACAGCGCACTAGAGTAAGACTAGCCAGTTAGGAGTTAGTCTTAGGATGCTACTGATCAGCTACTGATGTAGGGCTTTATCTGTTGGATATTAGTATACCTTCCATCCTTTTCGTATTTCTTATATTTCTTATATTGCTGTTATTTTGTTATTTTATGTTATTTTATATTATTTTATTATGAGTCTATTGATAGTTCTAATATATCATCTCTTTTTGCTTTCTTGAGCCGAGGGTCTCCTGGAAATAACCTCTATGCCCCTCGGGGTAGGGGTAAGGTCAGCGTACATATTACCCTCCCCAAACCCCACTTGTGGGATTACACTAGGATATTGTTGTAGTTGTATACACATATATGAATTGGACTTTGGTAATTCAACTATTTGATGGAGGAGAGAACACAGTTAGCACGCAACCTTGAAAGTCCATTTTTCTTTTCAACAATTGTTTACAATAAAAATTATTGAGTTAATTTGCATTCCGTCTAACGACTTGTTTGGATGGTTGTTACGCATCGTTTCATAATGTATCGTATCGTACTATATTGTATTGTACTGTATCGTTTGATAAATACAATGTTTGGATAGATTGTGTCGTTTGCCATCATTTCATGAACACATACCAGCAATATGAAGAATAAACTTGCAACATTATAAAGAAAAATTATGATACAAGGTAAAATTACTATATAAAAAAGTAAGGTAAATGATAAAATAAAATAATTTAATAATAATAAAGGGTGAGATTGAGAGAAAAAGATAAGGTAATGACGCGACCACACCAAATCGGTCGTTACATAAAATGGCACATTTCGTAGTTACGTAATGACGGATTTAACGATACGATACAATAAAATTTAAGTAACAATCAAAACAAACATTGTATTTAAAGTAACAATACGATATGATACAATGTGTAACAACCATCCAAACAAGCTGTAAAGTAAAGGATACAGATTTTTAGTGCCCGTTTGGACATAAAATTTAATGGAAGATTTTTTCATTTTTTTTTTATTTTTTTCAAAATCAGCGTTTGTTCATAAAATTTTCAATTTTCACTTGAAGATTCATTTTGGAAATTTTTGAAATTTTGAAAATTTTTCACTCAAATCACTCACAAAACTTTAAAAACAACCCAAACTGAAATTTATGTCCTAACACAACTCTAAATTTCAAATGCCATTTTCATTTGAAATTATTTTTTACCATTTTTTTGAATTTTATAATTTGTATGTCCAAACGCCTGTTTAGTCCTTGGGATGAGATCATCACTCTAATTCACATAGAGAGAAACACCCTTCTTATATAAAGAGTTTATAGTAAAGAATGAAAATAATCAGACGATAAAAAGGATAGACCCATCTACATGACCATAAAGATCATGACTATGTATAAACATGACAAATAACGCCTTTCAAATTGTGATGTTTTGGCTGCCATGTAATTTTATTGGCAATTATAACACGAGATTAAATTGGACGACCATCGCACCAATATTGTTATTAGCATTAACAACTTTAGTAGTGTTGGCCATTTGTGGAGAGGGGTAGAAGAAAAAAAAAGATAGGATCTTACTCATTAGAGTTTGTTGAGGCGCTGATACCATATAAGAACAAGAATAAAGCACAAAATTAATTTGTTTATTGAGTCAATGCAACCTTTAAATACAAGAGTGAAAAATCAATTCCCTAAACTAATTTCTCCGAAGGAGGAGGACCACACTACTTGCTGAACAAACTCCTTGAATGAGGAGATTTATTTGGAGAAGTTGGTTTCTGCTGCACCGGTCCCGGTCTGGCGAAGAGAACCTCGCTTCGCTGTCCGAGACTTTTCTGGTTTCTTTTGCTCCGGTCCGGGACTGGTGAAGTGAACCTCGCTTCGATGTCCGAGACTTTTCTTTTTAGATCCTTTTTCACTAATTTTTCTCCTATTTGATCCTTTTCTGCATAAGTTTGCTCCTACACATAAGAAACACGTAATGAGTATATTTTCACTTCAAAAGCGATGTTAACTCCCACAACTCACACAAGAAATAACATATAGACACACTCAAAACATGCACTTTTCATCCTTTATCAATAACTACATTCCTAAATTGAAAAGTTTGAATAATGTTATCCCTATTCAACTTTCTCTCTCTCTATCTTTTTTTTTTTTGCGGAATCAATCTAATTAGTTAAGGAAAATTTCTAAGCAAAGTGGCTGTCTAGCTATGTCCAGTTCTTAAATTGTTGCTTTGAATTCTTTGTGTTGTTAAGATTTCTAATGATTAGTAGTAAGTACAGAGTAAGTGGCTGATGGCTGCAGTTTTCGGTATTATCTTCCTTTGGAGGCATGATATGGAAGCACTATGGGCTACTTCAGGTGGAATTATCAATATTTGTCTCTCAATTGTACTGAAGAGGATACTTAACCACGAACGCCCTGTTTCAACATTAAGATAGGAATGCCTTCTTCACGTGCCCAGTACATCTTCTACACACTCACATTCTGTATACTCTCAAGTAAGTTTCTCATAGTAATTGATCAAGTACATAAATTTACTTAGTTTTAGATGATTCTACATGATCCATAAATTCTAATTGTCTATATACGATGTGACTTAAACGATATTAATTTAATTTAAGAAAATAAAATAGCCTTATCCTCTCTTCAGATAAACTGTAAGACTTACATTAAGGATGATGTTTGTTATATTGTTATTTAGTTATGTATACTCTACCTTCTTTGAGCAGCTGTTATTGCCTACTCTTTACCAGAATTGGACAAGATTCTATATTATCAATTTGCAAATGCAGAGAAATACCTCTCTCAATCGATTTAGCATTTCGAAGAATATTACTAACATTTTTTCAAGAGATGGTCACACCAATTGTTTAGATGGTTAACTGAACCGAGAACTGTTCCACCATGATTGGTTCTCTTGAACAATTGCTTTCAAGTTTCAAATTGAATATGTAATGCTTATTCAATTTGGTTATCGGTACAATAAAGGAAAACGTTCATAGGTAATCTAGGCCTTGTTCTATTTTGAGTTTTCTTGTCATCTCTTTTTGCATTTCCTGTGGAATTATGGTTTTGAGCTTACGAGATAATCCATTTTTAGTTCTCATTTTTCTTGTTGTTTGACACAATGATTCAATATTTCGGATTGAATGGAATAACAACAGGCATTAGTGTGCTTATCTTAGCAATGGGCTCGTACTTTGTAAGTGTGGATCGAGTTGCACCTTTTAGCGATTTTTCTGCATATGGCTGTTCAATCTAAAGAATATTGTAGAAAATAATAGAAGTTTCCTTGTCTTTTACTTTACAGTCGTGGCTACGGGTTTCACAACAACTTCACACATTAAACCAAGTAGTAGTGGGTGCTGAAATAAGATTCTGTTTTTCCATTTTCTGGCTCTGGTTGTGGAATGCCGTAGTCATGAAGCCAATTGTAGCCCACTTTTGGGTTCGGTTTGTAGCTGTTCTTGGGGCTACTGTTTTTTGTGTTGCTTTTCTCCTATACATTATTCAAAATTGGAGTTTTGATGATAATACTTGTATGAGTCCAAATTTGGCAACCACGACCATTACTGAGTAGAACGAGGTACGAGGGTATCGTGATGCATCATCTGATGGTCATCATGGTGGAAGGTAATCCCTGGGTGGTCAGTCGACACATAAAGTCCACAAGCGTGTGAACTTAGTGGGAGATAGTAAGAATATACTTTTTGAATATGCTCTATGTTGTACTTTTTAGGGGGTTTTTGGGAGATTGTCCCTTATAAATAGAAAGGGTAAGTGAAGAAAGAGGGGGGAGAGACTTTGTAAAAGAATCATCTGAGATTGAAATAAAATGTAGTCTTGTTTATCAGAGAAGATCCTAAGATTCCCCAATCATCCTGCACTTATTCTCTCTTACATCGATCACATTTGTGACGGTTCTAATTATGCATTTAAATCTTTGCATTTATGAGCACTTATTGGATTCGAACAGAATTATTATACCTTTCATCTTGTTTACTCATACCATCATTTGATCTAGATTTTATTGTACTTGACTAAGATTGACCTCATTATCATTATTAGTTGTTTTAATCAAAAAGGGTTTTGATATTTTTTGGTCAAACAATTTGGCGCCGTCTGTGGGGATTTCTTCAGTTTAGATTTCAGTTTCATCTAGATCATAGAAAGGGATAGTCACTTCCTCCTAGATCTGCACAAACTAACAATGGCAGGGAAAGGAGATGCAAGGTAAAAAGTAATAGTAGGTGTCACAACAAAACTCCTGAACACCATCAATGAAGACAACATGGAAGATAACGAAAATGGGACACCGAACACCACACCCAGGGGAGACGCTTCATCTCCTCCGCACGAAAGCGTAATTGCTTCGCGAGAAGAAAGCCTCCACATCTACAACAAGAGAGGCACCACCGACAGTGAGAAGACTATTGGAAGAATGGCAAACATTACTCTGAACAACATACTTGATAAACCCGTCAAAAGGGATAACAGAAATATTGCACATGTAGATGTCATGACGATCGCTGATGAGTAAGATATCCCCCATATAGGTAACACTCATATTGCTAATGACGTAGGTAATGACACGCTCGCAGCCGTCTTAAAGAAAATGGAGGAGATGGATAATGAGAACAAGGCACTCCATGACCAGATGAAGGAGCACCAAGAGAGGGTTGACAAAATACAAGGCGCCCCAAAGTTATTGCCAAAACGGGACGTTGGTCGATTCATCGAGCAACCATACAATGAAGAAGCGGCCCCCTACGCCATTCCAAAGACCTTCAAAATGCCACCATACCTGAAAATATATGACGGTATGTCATGACCCCAGTTCGCCCTCCGTGAACTATCATGACGGCACCTAGTCTCTACAACTAGGTAAGCCTAACAATTTACGGAAAAAGGAAAAAATAGATAAAAACTAGTAAAAATTGCGGAATAACATAATGAAAACGTTTAAGATGCCGCTCGGCATATACAAATACACGCTCTCAACTAAACAAAATCCGAAATCTCATGAAATCACAAGCTATGGATACTACATAGTGCTCTAACTCCAGAATGTCTAAATCAAAATAAATATAGAAGGGCTATAACTATAAGAGAGAATGGAGAGGGACTCCTCGGTCTGCGGACGCGGCAGATATACCTCGAAATCTCTGAAGAATCGCCTCGCCTCAAGAATAGCAGGGCCGTAGTTCCAATATAAATGTGCAGGAGGGATCTATCGGAAAATCAATCCGTAGTCCCAAATAAATAGGCAAGGGGGATCTACCGGGATATCGCCCGTTGTCCCAAAGTAAACAAACAGCAGCAACACGAAGAATATATTCTATTCAATCTAATTTCATACCAAGGTAAAACATGTATTTCTAACCTAGAATGCTGCACAGAATTCAAATAAAGCAGTTTGAGCAAGTAAAACAATTAAGTCAATTAGACATGCTTCCCTAAGCTAATAGTAGGATTAAATTGCAAGTAGTATAAACAGGAAAGAAAACACAGTTATAGTTACTTAATGAAAACCGGATTTTCAACAATTAGCACATGTACGCACTCGTCACCTCACGTACAAGGTATCACACCTCCTTTTTACTACCCCCGGAAGGGGTATAACGGAGTTTTTTCCAATTTAAGTGACAATCAAAATGAGATTATTTATTTAAGAATTAGAGTCGCCACTTGGGATAATTTATGGTGTCCCAAGTCACCGATTTAAAATCTCGAATCGAGGAAGTTGACTCTTATTTATGGTCTGCGAACACAGAAATCCGGGTAAGGAATTCTGTTAACCCAGGAGAAGGTGTTAGGCATTCCCGAGTTTCGTAGTTTTAACACGGTCGCTTTGATCATACTTGGCTTAATCAGATTGTCTAATTACTCATTTTAGAACCTATGTGTATTTGCCTTTTTAAATTAAGATATTATCTTGAAACAGTTCACGCATACGTGTACCCATTTGTTTGGCGCGTCAAAAATCATATCATGTGTACGTGTCCACAATTAATGACACTTATTATTATTAAGAGAGTTTGGCCGAAGTTGCGTGAATGCCTACTCCGATTTTATTTTTAGGAACCGTAATCATGTCACGCGAACGTGTCCACAACCACGACAGTATATTAAACGTGTCTAAAGCAAACTACGAACATTCATTCTTAATACCTAAGTTATAATATTAATGCGAGGGCCATATGTGATTTAATTATGGATGACACACCTGGGCCTAAAAGGACTACATTAATAACAATTTTATTATTAAGAAAATTTGTTCGAAGTTGCGTGGACGCATACTCTGAGTTGGTTTTTAAAATCATAATTATGTTACGCGAACGTATACACAATCACGAGGGTATTTTAAACGTGCTTAAAGGCTTTTCTACGTGTATTCGTTCTAATATCTAATTAAAGTATTTGTGAAGGCCATCGGCGATTTAATTAAAATGGCACACCTCACTCTATTTTTAAGATGAGAATTGCGTTACAATTAAAACGAATTAATCTAACGCAAGATTCAATTTAAGCTTCCCAATCACAAGTGTACATTGAGACCAATCAACAGACCTTTGCCTACTTTAAAAGAAAGCCGAGCCAACAACAAGCTCGTTGATGATTTGCGGGCAGCACACAGATTGGGCTCAGAGTTGAATTAATACAGAAATATGGATAAATTCTAAAGGATATAAACCACTATTCAGTAAAAACAAAACTAGCATTTGTCATTAAATCTCCAATTTAGTTACATGGCTTCACATTTGCACTTCACATGTTACTCAGGAGCCAATGAATATATGAAAGTCAAAACAAGGAAAAAGAGTGAGGATTTCAATAAACGCAGTAGGTCAGCACATTAACACAACAATATTCAGCTTTTTAAAACCATTTTAAACCCCAGACGAAACAGAGATCTCTTAAAACTTTTGAACTCTTCCAACAATAAAAACCAAAGAGCAATTCAAACCAATTTTCAACCAAAAAGGATGCAGAAACTTTGAGTGTTTTGCAGGGTGTCCAATCTAATTTTTTTGAGTGGAAGGAGGGTATATATATAGCCCTTTTGGATGCCATGTGCTGCTGAAAACAGAATGGGGAAATATTCTCAGCTTGCAGGGCATCTTTTAACTGAATGGAACAACTGACAGCCTTTAATTGGCTCCAACACTTGTGCTGGCCAAGATTGGGCCAGCTGCCCATATTGTAGTAGCTTCTAATGTTAGCCTTATCTGAAAATTTCATTTCTATTTTCCAAATTAACCCCTTAAGTTCCTAATTGTTCATTTAACACCCTAAAAGTCTGAACATTTTACAAACTAAACAAACAACTCTCTAACAGACTCCATAGGCCAACTGAATCAAATGTCATTTATCCTTGAAATCTAAATAGGTTTAACATTGAAATGTACTCAGAAATAAACCCATACTTGAACAATCAGAGCTAACATTTAGCAAGAATAATCAATAAACGAGCCTATTTGAGATTTAACCTCTGGGACAATTAATGCAACCATCTTGACAGGGAATCAAAACACCATAATTCACTAACATGCTGATTTCAGAACAAAATTCATTAAATACAAGTCAACCAATTAAAATAAACCCTAAATGAAGAACTAATGATTCTGATGGCAAATGTAATATTTTAACCCTAAACTGATGACTAGGAATAACGAGTAATCACAAGGGAAAGCAAACAAAATCTAACGACCTAAAATTAAACTAGCTAACCCCTTTCATTTTAGACAAAAGAAACAGAAGAAGAAGAAGAGATCAAAGATGTAAAGAAGCTAAAGAAGGGCAAGATGATGAGAAGATAGAATAAGGGAAAAAGGAACAGATACCTACTGCAATGGAAGGCCGGTGGCTCCGGCTGGACCCGTCTTTTCCGATTTAAACCCAAAAATAGGTGTCAAATGATTGTTCCCATGGAGAACAAACAAGTGACACCCATTTTCGGCTCAAATAGACTACGAACGCTCATGCATGTCCAACCTAGATTTGACATTGCTCCAATCTGACATGCCTTTTGAGCAAATCGACAGGATGTGAGGGGTGGAGGGAGCAAAAAGACGATCTGGTGAGGTTTTGGGTAGGTTTGGGCGAATTAGGGTTTTGGGGATTCCAGATTTAGATCTAAAATTGGGGGAGTTTGAGAAGAATTCGAGGGACATGGTTTGGATATTGTGAGAGAGGAGGTGACAGGAAATCTGGGGTGTAAATTTGGGGCGGATTGGAGCTATTTTATAGAGTCACCGCCGGCTAGTATGGTGGGATTTTAGGGTGGTGGATCTAGGGTTCTTAGAGAGAAGATGAAATGAGGAGATGAATTGAGAGGGGGTTGACTGGGGGGTGGGGCTCATTTCAGACAGTTAAATATTAGGGAGGAGAGTTATTAGTTCTGAATCGTTGGATTGTGGGAATCCAATGGCTAAGATGATACAAGCTAAAACAGGGTCGTTTTGGTGGGGGCTGCTGAACTGGGTAGGGATTGGGTCGGGCATGAGTCTGGGTTGGACCGGGAGGGTAAGTTG